CCTGATAACTCTAAACTTTTTCCTGAAAAATGCAAGCTGTGACTCCAATTGTGTGACGTTACAATGAAAAGCAAACGCATGAAAAAACAAAAAACACAACCGAAACTGAGCCCTTGTTTACAGCAGGTTCTGAAACGCTTCACAAGGTTAAAATGAACGCAGGACCTGAGCTACACATTGAAAGATTTCAGAGAGTAATTACCAGTACACTATATCTGCCTGTTTCTGCCTCCCACTAAATTTAAAATGCTGCTTGGGGTGAGTGTGGGAGAGAGGGAGGAACAGGCTAGGAAAGAAAGGTCTTCAGATGAAATGTTAATTCAACACTGACGCTAAAGAGCGATGTCTAAAAGCACTGACACTGTAGGGTGGCAGCAGACAAGCAAATAAGTGGGCTTTTATAATTTTATCGGTGCATGATACTGATTCATAAGGGTTTAAACTATAAAACATAATAAAGCTTGGAATAAAACACAGAACACAAATGTTAAAACCTGGAAAACAATAACAAATAGATACAGACTTGAATGAAGTCATCCAAAGTTGATGATGGCACTTTTTCTTACTAGGTTAGGAATCTGTGTTACAGACCAAGAAAGATGCAAAACTACTTCTACTGCAAACCTTTTTCAAAAAGATTTGGGGCGTTGTGTAAAGTGTAAATAAAAATAGAATGATTCGCAAACATTTAAACCCTATATTTATTTGAAAGTAGTAGATGATAAGAGATAAAAAATGATCAATTTTGTTGTTTTCTGAAAAATGTATATCTTTGTTTTGAATTTGATACCAGCAGCATATTTATAAACAGCTGTATCATGGGTAATAAAAGACAAAACCCACATGTAAATTTGCTTAAAATTTCAGGTTATTAGATAAGAATTTTGAGTTGGGGGTCTCAACATAACTCAAACATTAGACATAAGAAAAGTTTAAGAAAAGTAGCTGAATTTTTTCTCTCACGGATGGCATTCTTTTTCCAATAGTAGAAAAAAGCTGAATTAAAATGTGAAATTTCTTTTGTAAATGATGGATGATGGAGAAAAGAGTGAACGCTTTTGATCAGTAAACATTTCAAAAATCAGTACTGGTAATGGGGGGCATTAGGGCTAAAAGCTGGAGTAGTTTCCATGTCGTTTAAGGCACCTTTAATGAAGAACAACATATACCACCATTAGAGCATCTAATGCTGCCATCCAGCCATCCTTATTTTACCGAGACAGTGTCAGACATTGTTATCACATGCTAGAGCAACAAGGCTCTGTAGACTGCTATTATTCACCTTCTAGAGTTGTTCATACTGAAAATAAGTTTGCATTTAAAATAAAAACAGATAAAAGAAAATGCTGCAGTTTGAACTTCATGTTACCTTTGTACTAATTCCTAATCAAATATATAGTTTCAACTATAAGCAAATCATTGCAAAACGTCACAACTTTTAAGAACAGCTGTGTGTTAAATTTTGTATAAAACTGCACATTGTGCGCTGTCTATCTTGCGTGCTGCACAACATCGTTTAATATTTAGTATCTACTGTTATCTACTGCTAGCTAGTTTATTGTGATGGTGCTGTTTTTATTATGTTGCTCTTTTTTTGTTTGTTTTCTCTTCTGGGTTTTTTTTCTCCATACAGGTGATCCAGGTGTTTTGTTTGTTTTTCTCTCTTTCTTCCCCCCTTTCTCACCGACTCTTCTCCCCTCTGGTTTTCTTTCTCTTCCTCTCTTTCTTTCATTCTTTCTCCATGTCCTATCCCCCAGTCATGTCTGTCCCGTTTGTAGCAACCGAAAATAAAATAAATTCATAATTATAATAAAGGTTAATCAAATGGACCAATATGGCCAGGCCATGATGATCCACTTGGTAAAATAAATCCACTTGGCATCTTTCTTGGCCTTAAGACAACAATTTATCCATCATGCATTAACATTTACACCAAATTTCTAAGGAAACACATGGACATAGTGAATGCTGTTTCATCCAGATTACACACTGCTTTTCTTTTTCTTAGACGAGCTCATAGATAAACCCCTCCTTGATCTGATGAGGAAAATTCCAAGCCTTAGACTAAGCCTTTCGAGATCACAGTTAGAGGATCCAGCTCAAGACCTCTGGACGTGGAGCACACGCAAATCCCATCCGTTAATGCTCTCTGGGTTGCTGTCACAATAACGGCAAATCAAATCAGACTGAACAAAATCTCATCAGACAGATGTAGAAACCAATGATACCGATAAATCAATGCGACTGTAAAAGGACGCACGAACACACATATGCACTTCCAGGCCTCAATATTTCAGATTGAAGCCTGAAAGCTCCCAAGTCGTAATCACCTATGGGAGTGTTTGGCATGGAACGCCCACCGCGTCTGTGCATTCATTTAAAATGCCACAACCACTACAGAGACAAGTTATAAACAACAGGTCTGGCAAAGCGTTCTGGACGAAATCTTGATGCTAATAAATAAAGTAAAATCCAATTAATATTTAAAGCTAATCATAGCCACGGAGTTGGAGAACACACAAAGACAGATTGAAGCCCGCGGGGGTAAGAGGGAGCTTTCTGACTGATGCTCCCAGTAGACTGAGGTCTCTATTTTTCTCAGATTTAAATTCAAAAGCTCTTGTTTTAAAGAATGTTCTTATAATCCCAGCAGAAATCATCCATAATTAAACTAGCAAGCTCATGACAAAAGCAACACAATCATTGCCTAAATAGATGACAGAGAAAAAACAAATTAACGTGCCATCGTTATGTCTTGGGGTTGCCTGATAATTTCCTCACATATGCATGAAATGTTCATGGCTACAGGAGCCATTTAAAAAATGTCAATGATCCAGCTATAAAAAGCCAGCTCATACAATTCTCAATGACTGTGCAAGGTTATTACTTTTCATGCTAGCATCCCCCAAAACATGAGTTGTTATTAAAGCTATAAGCTACAAGGATGTTGGGCGTGTGTGTTACTGCCCTGCTCTCTCTGGCTGTGTTATAGGTAGTGGGGGAGGGGGAACGTTCACTTTTCCCTAGCTAGGATGAGCAACGGTGAGGAGGGCCAGGAGGGCGGGGGTTATGGTGGGTGTGCATTTCTATCCATGCCGTGCTATAGCTCGTTGATGGGATGGGAAGTGCATATATGTAGGCCATTCACACGCCTGTTTTAGGAGATGGAGGGACAGATGCTTGTCCACAGTGTCAGTGCCTCTCCTGCTTCTCTCTCTGACAGCACCACCAACTGCCTCCTCTTACATAATCCCCTCCCCCTTCTTCAGGGCTGCTGCCTGCATTTATTGGCTTATTTCTCTCTTTTTTAACCTTTGCATTTTTACCCCACTAACCCCCGCTGCATGCCCCATTCCCTGACTCATTATCCGCAATTCCGCTATTTTTATTCCGGTGAAGAAATGTAAGAAATGTAGACGCTCGTATATTCAAGCCATGAATGCCGGGTTGGATACGCTTTTTCGCAGAGTTTTTATGCTGGTATGTATTCACACGACAGAACGAGAAAGCGGGGATCCTTCGAAAGGATAGCACGAGCCAGGATTCGACATAGGGGTTTATCCATTAATGGTGCTGTTTCAACAGGATAAGATCACTACATGAATCACGATGCAGTCGAAAGAGATTTTTCATCAAGCAGATGCTAATTTGCTCCTGTTGTAAGTTGAATATTGAACAAATACGCTGGAAAACCAGAGGGTAACACTGACGGAGAGTAAAATTCTCCATGTAAGGAATAAATGCTTACATAATCACATCTGCTTTGAGCTCTTCAAATGTGTGAAACATGAAATACGCATGACTGATCTGGACGTGGCTGCAATGGAATAGATTTAAATGGATCACGAACAAGACAGAGAGAATGTCCATTTTCTTTTTTTTGCCTCCTCAAAGCTAAAGCCTCTCCTCCATGTAGTAATCTGCTAATATCAACCAGGTTGCAGCTCATACGAGGGCTCAGCTCAGGAGGAGCTCTCTCCACAGTGCTGCTGAAATTTCAGCCTCCATTTTCTTCTCACCTTCCTCACTTCTTCCTATTCTTCTTCCAAAACCAGGCTCAGACACAACAGGGGGTAAAATACAAATAATGCAGTGGCTTCACTTGCCGCAAACACAGGACTGCACGGGCACATACTTATGCACAGCAAGCATCCTTGAATCTCATGCTCGCCGAGCAACCCTTCCCCCACCCAAGCTCAATCTCATGCTCACATACATGCACCTTCCTTAATTAAAGACTGTGCTCCTGAAGCTATCCTGACCTTCCATCAACTGGGATTTACAAATACATGTAAATAAATGGAGGCAACAGACACAAAATGGTGCATATGTAAAGAGGCAGTTTCATTCACACTGTGCGACACATGAAACAGGCAGCATTTAGATTGCGTCTCATTCTCTGTTTGTATTACACAACACAGTCTATTGTGATGCTTTGAAGCACAATGGCCTGCAAAAAACACAGGGGCTGGCATCAGAGATGGATTTCATCATCCCTTCCTCCACTCTAAGCTAATTAGACAAAATCTGTTTTTTACATCTAATTTCTTTGAGTCAGCTTGTAATGTCAGGGTTACCGACCAGAGGGCTAATTCACAATAATTGCAAACCGCCTCTCGGTGCTGCTTCCATGAATGAAAATGCACCATTTCTTTGGCCTGTGGTAACTGCATCAGCATAAGCCTTTGACGACACACACGCTCGGTGTGTTAAACCTATAAGCATTAGTCATCTGCGCCCAATCCAAAAATGAAGATCATCTACATGCGTGTGCCGTGAAGCTAGATCAGCTCTGTTCTGCTCTACGATGCGAAATACACAAGCGACAATTAGGCAAGCGAGGGCTCGAGAAGAATACTAAATCTGAATTCTCTTCCTTAAACTGACAGCTTCAGCTGGCACATGATCGTTTCTGTTTTACTATGGCAACAGCCCCTCTGATCTCCCTCGTCAGGTCCCACGAGCCTGAGCTATGTAACAGAGTGAGGAAGAGGAGTTACCTGGTCATACCACTCCCGGTTGGTGCAGGTGCACTCGGGCCACCATCCTCCTTGTCCACTGGAGTTGTTGCCGTTTACTTTGGGGCCACCCTTGGATTGGCCCTTTGGGTTGGGGCCTCCAGGGCCCCCACCAGACATAACCTTGCCCTTACTTCTCCCTAAAGTGCCCCCTCCTCCTCCCATGCTTCCACCTCCCCCCGAGGCTGGAGGGGGTAAGGTCTGGCCTCCACCATACCCAGGTGGGTATCCATAGGGCTCGGCCTGCCAGTCTCCTCCATACGACGGGGCGTCCATCCTACGCAGGGCAGCCATACGGGTCACCTCATAACATTCTGGGCACTTGCAGCAGTGGTGGTGTTTGTGCATGCTGGCTGTGCTGGCTGGGCTGACGCTGAGATGAGCGGCGTGGCACTCTGTCTCTGCTGCCTCCTCAGATCTCACACAGCACGCTGTGATCGGCTCACAGAGCGCTAATGCCGATGGAAATAACACTAATCACAGGAATTTCTACAGATTTTCCCTTTTCGTCAAATCCTGTCACTCTCCAGTTTATTCCTTCCGGACGCAGGGGAAAAAAAACGGACTGAGAGGGATGGGAAGCAGCGACAGGAAAACAAAAATACAAAATGGGCACGTAGTCTTTGTCCTCTTGACGTTGAAGATCAAAGGAAATATTTAAAATATTGTATACCGCCACACAATCAGAGACCAGCCCTGATGATAGAAATTTCCTCTTGCTTCTCTTGGTTCACAGTGATACGCATATAAATTCATAGATATATAGATATTTTTTGTTTATATATCATATATATTTACACACACAAATACATATAAAAATATTAATATAAACAGACAAGCACAGATACAGATATGTACAAGGATAAATGTATATATATATAAATATCTATATGCGTGTGTACAAATATATATATATAGATATATAAACAATATGTATAAATAAATGATATCCGCAGATGAAAATCTTCCGTTAATTCTTGGTATCTTCCTGTTCTTGTCAAAATCTCACGGCTTTTTTTCCCCTCCTGCGTTGAAAATCGTTGTCTTTCGCTCTCTGTCTCTTTTCTCAGCCTGCAGAGAGGAGCTGAGCACTGGATCGCCTCTCAGCCAGCTTGCCCTAGATGTGGATTATTCAGAGGGATGTGAGCTAGCACGAGCGAGATAGTGAGAGAGCGATATAGAGCAAGAGAGAAAGAGAGAGAGAGGGAAGCAGGAAGGGACGGAGGGGGTGGGGAGGGGGAGATATGTAGCAGCATCCCTCTAGCACCTCAGCCCTGACAGCCACAGCCAATCAACTTGCAGCGCCGCCATCAGCAGCAGCAGCAGCACCAACAGGACTGAGCGCTTCAGTAGCTGCTCTTAAAGGGACCGCAGCACCCAAATCTCGCTGCTTCCTGCCTTGAGTGAAAAGGCACTTCTTTCCTAATCAAAACACAATAAAATATTGTGTGTGTGTGTGGTTTTTTTCCTCTTAATACTTTAAAGAGAAAAAGGTCAGGAAGTCATAGTCTGCAATCTGCCAATGCAGTCCTCAGCCTCTGATCCGCAAATTCTGAGTCTAATCCATGTTTTCATCAGACCAATGCAGCTGAAATCCAACTTGCAATGAGCACCCCTGTCATTCTGATCACTGGTCATCTCCACGGTCATCCTTAGTTCAGCTGCAGCCTGAACAGCTTTCTTGTGCTAGTAATTGTCAACCTCGGGCTCTGTGTCACAGCACACATCTGTAAATACTCTTGCAGTGGAAGTAGGTGCAGGAGATGAAAATCCCTTTTCGCCTCAATATCACGGCTCTCGGCAGAGGATGCATTCGAATCGCGCTGCATTACTTTAAAGCGTTCTTTCGTTTCAAAGCGGCACCGCTGTTGCATTATTTTAATGGCGAGTCCTGCGCGTGTGCAGGACCGGGTCAAAAATAAGCACGGCGAGGGAAAAAGTGCACTCCTGATGCCTCGTATAAGAACCATAGGGGAATTAATTCATGTTCACAATGATGACATCAACACATGTGTACGAAACCAACACGATTACACGCTCGGGCTTTCAAGTGGGTGGAGGAAGAGATTGAGAGTGAGAATGTGTGAGCGGGAAAAAAAAAAACCCACTATATGGCTTTCATGTATCTGTGGCAGTTATATTTTCAGTAATGCGATAGGACTGCTTGTGAGCCATTTTAAATGCTTGTGAACTCGTGGGCTGATCACAGCTAGATACAAAACATCCTGACACTGAGGGTGAAGGTTTTTTTTAGTGAACTGAGAGGGAATGTTACAGTGTCGCCATTAAAGCCCTGTATACATGCATTATTAATGAAATGTGACGGGGAACAGAGCTGGGTGTGTCTGCATGGGGGAGAGGGTATATTTATACATAGTCTGCATGTTACAGTGCATATACATTAAAGCAAGAAGCCTTTTAAGTGTGTTGATAGACACCATATTGCCATATTGAAAATTTGACATGTATAAATGCCTATCCGTGCAACCTTCCCGTTAAACTGAGCAGGACTTTGAGGGTGAACTGGATTGTGTTGCAGCCCTACCAGGAGGCACACACAGCAGGCTCAGGCTCACTTAATTACATGCAAGAGTAACTCACTTCATTATAAGGATATCCTCTCACTCTAACCTGCAGAGATTTTCATTTTCGAGCAAAGAGCAAAAAGAAGCATTTTTAAACAGATGCTGGAAACCACTGTGTGAGTTATATCGTAGGATGTGCAGCCACATATGCCTCTGAATTGAATTAGAGCGGCGAGGTGGGGCTTTGAAGCAGCAGCCTGGAAGACCAATGTAAGCATATCGATCACAACACACATGACAGATCACATGTTGCAAGCATGCTTTACTAAAGCCCCTCTCTCCTGTCTCTCTTATCAACTGTCCACACTGCAATCATGGGGTGTGCAGTAAGAAGCTACCTTTATACATACATATATAAAGGTAGGTATGGGCAGGACAAGAAAAGAATAACCACAGATTGGTAATCGTCCACATACAAACACATGAACAGGTGTGACCAGTTCACATATGCAGACATATTTTAGTACCTTAAAGAAAAGGAAACTGTTTCAGTTCCATATTATAGATGGGAAATACAATTTAAGAGCTGCTTTTTTGTCTCAGTACAGAATACAGAATTAATACAGGAAAATGATTTTGCATGAATTAAATTGTACTGGGCAAGAAATGTCTTGATGGATAAAGCACTGTCTGTACTGATTGTTTAAAGTTTATAAATGGAGGATAAAGGACACATTAGTGAATATAGTGTAATCAAATACCATTGCCCTGGATTAAATGCAGCTTTTGCGAAGAGTATGTTCGCAGCAGATGGCCTCCCCTCCCTCAGCCTGGTTCTGCCGGAAGTTTCTTCCTGTTAAACGGGAGTTTTTCCTTCCCACTGTTGCCAAATGCTTGCTTATTCTTTACCTTACAATATAAAGCACCTTGAGGCAACTGTTGCTGTGAACTGGTGCTATATAAATAAAATTGAATTAAACTGATTTAAATGTGTCTAGAGTGTTTAAAAAAAATCCTTGTTAATATTGTGTTCAGGCGAACAGCATTAGGTGATTTATGGCTAAAACTAAGACTGTGACCTCTGACCCTCTGCTTGAGTTATGACACACAGGAGGAGCACATCATTTGCTTTTTGAACAGAGATGCTTCATTTCAGCTTTCGGCACTCCCGACACAATCAGCTCAGCAGCAGCCTTCACGGCTCTCTTATTACATAAACCCACCTGGACACCCTGTAACAAACACACGCTATCATGACGAGCATTACAGCCCCCCCTCTCAACCACTGCACGGACCATCTATTGAACTTTTCAGTCATTTCTAGGCATTTCTCAGAGAAGCTGTGTGACTGCTCCTTCGTCACCTGACCGGATTTAGCACCATAAAAGGACAATCGGTAGTGAGGCAGTCTTAAAGAGGCAGCTCCCAATCAACACATAATAAGATCTTGTACTGTAGCCTTAACCAACTGTAATAGGGGATGAAGAAACAAGTCTCTCGGGTATCATTACATCCACTGAAAGGAATTCCCAGATTATAGAAGAATATGTGAGATATATATTTCACTGACAGGTGATGTGTTGATGGGAGGCAAGTAATTCGCACAGGGTGAGGAGACAGCAAGTCAGTCAATCTAATTCAAATGAGTGAGATCATTTAGATTCGCCACAATGCTCTCCCAGCATTTCAGAAGCAGAAAACTGAGGCTACATGCCTAAGACTCCTATTAATAGGCCTTAGTGGCGGAGAACAGCTGCTCCACCACACACATGAAACTCCAACTGATGGAATAATGAGAGAGAGAAGCATACACATGGAGATAAATGAAGGAGACAGGAAAAGAGGAGAGTGAGAGATTTTATCAGAGCTGCAAGGATAAGGAACGGTGTTTATGCAGATTTGGTACACGCATAAAGAAGAGGGAGGAAAAAGAGCAATAAGAAAAAGGGGGGGTTTGGTTCAAGTAGGAGGTTATAGGATCAGGTGAAAGTAGCTGATAAAATGTGGTGAAGGTGGTTGAGGTCCACTACAGATGCCGTAACAGAGGAGAAACCGAGCTAAGGTGCCCTGTGTGTGGGCAGAAATGCGATGACTAGAGGGGGCATTACTGAAGCATGGTGCTGAACAGAAGGGGAAGTAAAAATAGAGAGAAGAAAAACAGAGAGATGCTGAGAAAACAACAAAGTGCTTATGCATCCGTGAGTGCATGGGAATGCAAAATAAACTGTGTAATTACCCATCCACCTTGCCACAGAGTGCAACGCTTCTGAAATCACTGTGCTTGCTGAGTGTGCATCATCACGAATGTGCTCAAAGCATGTACGGCGTGACAGCAGAAGAGAGCGAGATGGAGGGAGAGAGGAGAAAGAAAACAAAGAGGCAAATTAAAAGAGGAATGAAAAAGACGGGATAAAACATAGAGGAGAGCGAGGGGAGAGATAGATATAGAGAGAAAGAGAGTCAGAGCAGTCTGTAGGGATGCAGGCGGGGGAGGAATGTGGTTTCCATGGCAACCCGCGGAAGGCTGAGCTCTGGGTGTCCGTTCCAGCTCTGCACTGCACCGGCCCTTGCCTCTCAGCCGCCTTGCTGTCTCTCTCCAGCCTCCCCCACTATAGCTTTCTCTTTACACCCCCATTCTCTCCCTTACAGTCCCTCCCTTCCCCTGCGCCTCCTCATCTCCCTCCTTCATGTGAAAGAGGGAGTCTCACACACACACACACACACACACACACACATACGCAGCCAGCTCCATATTATCCATACCAGAATCAACCTGTGCTGTCACTGTTTTATTATGCAGGCATTATCATACAAGCACAATGAATCCATGTGCTCGCAGCCACAGCCTGCATCACCTCATCTTTTACCCGGTCCAAATCCACTAATCCAAACGCCCCCCTCACATACACCCACACACCCACACACACACCTACTGCACTAGTTCTGGGCTCAGCTCAAAAGCCAACGCCTGCAGCCACTGTGCTGCCATGTGCCTCTGGCCGTGCTGTAATGGGGAAATGCGTGTGAACACGGCGGCCTTTAAAAGCACTGAGGAACATGGCAGCCTACTGAGACATATCTCTCACATGAAAGATGAGGACTGAGCATGTTGCTCGTGTAAGCATCAGATGAGCCACAATCCTTTAAAGAGACCGCTTGGCATTTGGAGAAGCATCGTTTTGGTATCACTTTGGCAAGAAGCTTATCTGCTGTCTTGCCAAAAGTTACAGCACAATAAAACAAGAGGTGCCAGGTAATTAGCTTCTTTTAGCAGGACTGAAAACAGCACATTTAATTTTTTCTATCTAAACAAAAATCATAATCCACACAATGTAGTTTTTACAATTTTTTTCACTTGGAGATCAAACAAAGAGAAGGTGTTAATCTGTGAAATTTATACATGTTGGTAATATGGATTTTGTGACATTTTGACAAGTTTTTTCCCACTGTTTCTAGTCCGAAACCAAAGTAAACTTCACATCTAATAGACAGACATGAGGGCGGTATTTGCCTTTTACCTCATAGCAAGCTAGTTAAACAAATAGTACTTTGGGCTTTTGTCTATCTGTCTGCCTGTGTTTGCTTTTTTTT